CGAACTATAAGTATGATGGAACTCACCAACACCAAGCAACGAAAAGATGAACTTGTTGTTGACTACATCAATAGGTGAAAAGCTTTAAGTCTCGAGAAGTCTGTCACACCTACCCCATCTGAACCACTGACAGAGGATGTTGACCCATCAAAAGCACCCCCAACCTCGATTAAAGGGAAGGAAAAAGTCACTGCTACCCTCCCTCCCTATGAACCGCCTCCCAAAGCATTGGTGCAGAAGCCATCCCCTAATAGGGATAAAACCCAACCCATCTCTCTCCTACAAAGAAGGAAACCTAGCCCCATACCTAGCAGCCCTTTCATTGATGACCTTGATGAGGTTGACTATTTTTCGAGTCCGCTCCCCGATGATAGCCCACTTTTGGCTATCCGCAATAGCCCTTCCACACCCATTATCCCCACCATTCTTTTTGGTGATTTATCGATTACCGAGGCAGCCCCCCTTCACATTTCTACCCCTACACAACCCAACTCACCATCCAACACCCTATCCATCGCCAACCCATCCAAACAACCCTCTTCACCCCCCATGGCCACTGACACTGCCACACTGCCGCACTACCCACACTGGCAGACACCTATGACAGCCCTGTCTTTACTGACGAAAACCTGGCCAAAAACCTCTTCTCTCCAAGCTATCTCCAACGTTACTTGGCCAGCTACCTACAGGAGTCGGGTTTATGCATCATGGCCATCCCACAAGTAGAAACTAAGGCCAAAAAGCCTTCCAAAACCCAAAAACCCAAAACAGGCACGCGAGAGCTAAGGAACCTAACTTCATCCATCAACTATGATAAACAAAAGCTTTTAAAGGGGGGACCATCCCGTGCCAAATGAAGATCCTCTCTTGGAATGTAAGGGGTCTAGGCTCATGGAAGAAGAGGGCCCTCATCAAGCAAACTATCTCCCACATTAATCCTAGTGTGGTGATCCTACGGGAAACAAAGATGGCTATTATTGACCCCTCAATTGTTAAATCCCTTTGGAGTTCCCATGGGATAAATTGGGTGACTCTTGGCACTGTGGGTTCAACTGGTGGGATACTTATCCTTTGGGACGACGCCGCCTTTACAACAAGGGAGATTATTGAAGGTGTTTTTTCCCTTTCCCTAAACTTTATCTTAGCTTACGGTTTCTCTTTCTGGATCACGGGAATCTATGGTCCATCCACCTCTAAGCACCACCATCATTTTTGGCAGGAGCTCAAAGATCTTTCTGACTTTTGTCCGATCTTTGGATATTAGCTGGGGACTTTAACGTCACCAGATGGTCTTGGGAAAAATCCAGTGGCCGCCCCCTCACCAAAAGTATGCAGACATTCAACTCCTTCATTGATGGATCTGGTCTCATTGATATTCCCCTCAGCAACGGCAAGCTCACGTGGTCCCGGAACCAATCACACTCCTTAATCGATTGCTTCCTATTGGCTAAAGGGTGCACGGACAAACTTGGGATGCCAACTGCTAAGAGACTGGACAGAACCACATCCGATCATTTCCCCATCCTCCTGGAATTTGGACAAAACAATTGGGGCCCAACACCCAGAGTCTTGGTGGAATAGAAACCCCATCCATGGTTGGCCTGGCCATGGCTTGATGATGAAGCTCAAAGCATTGAAGCTAGCCCTAAAGGTGTGGAACAAAGAACACTTCAGTTGCATACACTCTCAAAAGGACAGCCCATCCAGTCCTTATCCACACTGGATGATTTGGAAGGAACCCGCACCCTATCCCCTGACAAGGTTCAGGAGCGCCTGACTATTTGTGAGGAATTACTCTCTCTTGCTGCTAAAGAAGAGATTTTCTGGAGACAGAAATGCAAGCTAAAATGGCTACATGAGGGGGATGAAAATACTAAATTCTTCCCCCGTTTCCTAGCAAACAAAAGAAGACGAAGCACCATTACTGAACTACTCTCTCAGGTAGGTAATAGCCTCACACAAATTGGGGATATTGAAAAGGAATTCATTGATTTCTACTCATCCCTCTACACTAGGAAAGCTGGACAGAGAAGTTGCCCTACCAATCTCCCATGGGATCCCATCACTATAGACAACTCTACAAGGCTGGAGCTCCCTTTCACGGACGAGGAGATCTGCAAAGCAGTCTCCTGTGTTGGAAAGGACAAAGCCCCTGGGCCGGATGGTTTCACTGCAGAATTTTTCAAAAAGTCATGGAACATTATCAAATCCGATATTTTGGCAATGTTCCAAGATTTTTTCCAAAATGGAATCATCAATGCTGCATTAAACAAGACCTATATTTGCCTCATCCCAAAGCGAAAAGATGCAAAAACAGTCCATGACTATCGCCCTATCAGCCTCATTCCTTGTGCATACAAAATCATTGCCCGTGTCCTATCCGAGAGGCTCAAAAACCTGCTGCCCCAAACGATTACAGCCTACCAGTCCGCATTTGTAGAAGGTAGATAGGTCCTTGACTCTTCTCTTTTAGCCAATGAAATTATTGACGATTGGAAGGTGAGAAAAGAAGAAGGTGTGGTTTGAAAAGGCTTTTGACATGGTAGACTGGGATTTTCTAGACATGATTCTCCACCACAAAGGCTTTGGAGTGAGATGGAGGAAATGGATCCGAGCTTGCATTTCTACCACTAGTTTCTCCATTATCATCAACGAAAAACCAAGAGGCAAAATCACAGCCATAAGAGGATTAAGGCAAGGGGATCCGCTGTCACCTTTCCTCTTTATCTTGATCATGGACGTCCTTAGCCGTTTGCTCCTCCATGGCGAACAAAATGGCTCCATATCAGGTTATGTCTCTAGATGTGGATTGGTTTCTATTAACCAGATGACACACTCTTATTTTCTAAGATGGATCCTTCCACCATCAAATCTCTCCACAAAACCATCAAATATTTTGAGCTTGCCTCGGGTCTCAACATCAACTACAAAAAGTCCAGCGTTTTTGGAGTGGCTATTAATCCACAAATAACAACTCAGATTGCTATAGAGTGGGGCTGCACATCTGGGACATGGCCAAGCACATATTTGGGACTCCCCCTAAATGGAACCATAGAAAGGAAGGCTTCTGGCTCCCTTTAATTGAAAAACTCCAGCAAAGTAGATGGAAAAACCTTTTCATTTCCAAAGGAGGCAGATTTACTATCTTACAATCTGTCCCTACAAACCTCCCTATCTATTACCTCTCCCTTTTCAAGCTTCCTGGAAAGGCTGCGGATCGTCTTAGTAAAATATTCAGAGATTTATTGTGGGAGGGATCGAACTCAAATGGCAAGCCCAATCTTATTAACTGGACCCGCACCCAACTACCGCTACACGAAGGAGGCCTTGGCGTTGGTAACATCAACCATAGGAACCGAGCTTTATTATCTAAATGGATTTGGAGATTCATTACGGAGCCAAACCACCTATGGAGGAGACTCGTAGCGGCCAAATACAATGGCGGTTACCTGGCCATCCATTCGCAGAAATCGTTTCAAGGGGCCATGGACTGGAATTACTAAGCAAATCAGCATTGTCAGGACATATGCCATTTGCAAAGTGGGTGAAAGAAGCGCTCTCAATTTTTGGCACGATACATGGCTATCACAAGGGACTCTGGACAGCCTCTATCCAAATCTCTATGCTATTTCGACCAACAAAGAAGCCACTATTTCAGAGCTTTGGTCACACGCCACAGCCTCCTGGGATTACAACTTCCGCCGACCACTAAAAGACGATGAGCTCTCTGATTGGTTAGCTCTCTCCCATATACTAGACTCAACCACACCTACCTCCCTTAATGACCAATGGACATGGCCTTTGGAAACCAACAGATCTTTTTCTACAAAATCTGCCTATCGCATTCTCACCACTAACAAAGATCTCACTGCCTCCACTCTATTCCCTCGTATTTGGCATGGGAGATGCCCAAGGAAAGTCAAGTTCTTCTGCTGGGAACTTAGTCATGGGGCGATCAATACCCATAACAGACTACAGAAAAAGCTCCCTCACATCACCCTATCCCCAAACAGTTGCCTTCTCTAATTTAAAGCTACAGAAACACAGGGTCACCTATTCACACAATGTGATTTCGCTTATCAATTTTGGAGCCAACTACTCGCAACTTTTGGATGGGAAACTCCCCTACACACAAATCCTACTATCTTTCTTGACCAGATATTGGCGGGGCACCCATTTAAGAGAAGAAAACAGACTCTATGGATACAGTTTTATCGGGCCTTCTTTTGGAATCTTTGGTTGGAAAGGAACAACAGAGTTTTCAATGACAAAGGCTCTCCCTTTTGATTTATTTTTTGATAGGGTCATTACCTTAGCTCTCAGATGGTGCAAATGTTTCTATCCAATTTTTAGTAGCTATTCTCTAAGTAATCTTATTACAAGTTGGAAAGCTCTCTTGTAATTGCCCATGTGGCCTTTTGTATATTTCATACCATCAATGAAATATTTGTTTCATATCAAAAAAAAAAAGACAGTAAAAAGGTTTAAGGATGTAATCACATAGTGCTGACATATGTACTCTCTCGTAACCAGGATTTCAAAGACCACAAATTAAATCACTATGCTTAGATAACCAATTGCTACATTTTGAAAAAGAGGAAACAAAAAAACATAAAAGAATGTACCTGATACACCTGAAACAAATTCAGTACCCGAAATACTGTAGAAAGGCACGCCGGTTTCATTTGCTATGGCATGAGCCAATGTGGTCTTACCACAGCCAGGGGGTCCATGAAACAAAACTCCACCGATGGGTCTGACCCCAAGATACCGAGGCAGCTGCGAATGGTAGAAGGGCACAATCACCTTGTTCTTTAATTCCTTCAGCACACCCTGCATCCCTGCTAAAATCTTTAAACCTAGGCCCATTATCAACACAACTCTGGTCCTTCCTACTCAATGCTTCTTTGCTTACTTCATTCCCCACATCAATTCTTTTAGCCTCATTATTTTCAATGGCAATGTCCAATTCCAGATTCTTGGACTTGGCTTCGTTCGACTCAGTATAAGATGCTCGAAGCATAGAGTTCATAAAATCAAACTCTCCATAGTTAGCTTCCTCCGACATTGACACGACGCCGTCGCCACTCTTGTCAGAATAAGACATTGAAGACATATCATCCCTATCACTTTGCTGCATTCTCTTAAGAGGTATAGTTTCCATACTCTGCAACCTCTGCTCAATCACATTGACTCTCTTGAACCTCTTTTTCCGAAAGGTATTTTCACAACCACGATCGGCATCTTGATCTTCCAAATCCACAAGTTGACGTTTCATCGTATTCGTTGTCGAGGTAGATAACGAGGATTTATTACTCTTTTTCATCTTGGGCCCAGAAATTTCGAGCGACTCAAGAGTTCTTTGGACAATCGAAGAGAATGGCAATCTCTTGAGCCCCCCGTAGTCTCTGTAATTGGATTGAAGATGGTCGATGATGTCGTCTACGGTAGGACAATTACGCTGACAAGACCTAATCCGCTGAAGAAGAAAACCTCGATTCACTACAGAGGGCGACCTGCTGCCGGCCATGTTCCCGAAATAAGACTGAGACGATATGAAGAGATTATGGTTGCTTACTCTTCTTTCTTTTCTTAAATAGGTTCAATGAGAGTTGGGTTGGCCTTACCTACAACTACAAATAAACACAATTATATTCTTGAATAGAATAAAAATAAGAAAAATAACAAATCAACTCTAATTATAAGAAAATTTTATATAATTAACCTATTAACTTACGTCTCCCTTTTTAACTATGAAAAAAATTAGTAGTTCTTTTTCGTTGGCATTCTATTATTACTCATTTGATAATAGACGACTTTTATACCCGAAGCCTCGATACTCATCTTTGTCCACAGTTTGGCATATCGACCCCCGACCTTTGTACCCGGAGCCTCGATACACAACTAGTGACATATCAGCCCTCTAGCCCGAATACTCACCCAACAAAACCAAAACTCTCACCATAGTCCTACATGTTTCTAAGCCATGACACATGCATCAAACGTCTCACAATAATTCATCATGCTTCTTAAACCACAACCAACGTGCGAACAACTGAACAATAATACCAATATGCTTCCACAACATAATAAATTTTCAACAACATGCTTTACAGAGATTGTAGTCATAACAGAGCATAGTCAAACAATTATAACCAACCAGAATTAATCACAATCATTCCAAACATCCAACATCCGTAGAGAACAATATCCAACGAGTACTAAGGGATAAAACACACAATTTAAAACATGCAATTCATACATAGCACACAACAAACATCCCTCTAAGTAATAACTACTTACTAACAAAGTCCTAACGCACAAACATCCCTCTAAGTAATAACTACTTACTAACAAAGTCCTAACTACTTACTAACAAAGTCCTAACGCGCTACTAAGCTCGTCGAAGGGTTCCTAAATCCAAAAAAAACCAAACTTTGGTTAGAAACAACTCAAAAACACCTTAATCGAATCGAAACTAATTTTATGTGAGTAGTCTTACGCCAAAACCACTTGAGGTACGAGTGGGTCGATGTCGAATGAGCCCGACACTTGAGTTCAGAAAGACTCAAACTTGCTGGTTTGATACCGAAAAGCAATTGTTAACTCAAATCAACCTTTGTTTGAGCATGGGTAGGTGCCGAATAAATGTCGAAGGAGGTGGGTATCACAAATCGAGCTTCAAACAAGGTGGGTCACCGCCAAACGTCCTCAAAACGCTGCTGTAACGTGAATCGCCGTTGGAATGTCACTAATCGCTCGTGAGACGGCGGAGACTCACCGGATCTGGACTAAAAAACTCGAATCCCACCGCTGGTTTTGTTGCTCGAGTTGCTGCTACTGAAACACGCCGCCGTGGGTTCGTTCGCGTTGCCGTCCGCCGCGAATCATTGTCGTGGAGTCGCCGCCTGTTCTGGGTTGCTGCGCCGCCGTGAGTCTCGCCGGAGGATGACGTCCGTGGTTTTTGGCCGCTGGTGATGAAGAAGAAGAGGGGGCAGACGGGGTTAGGGTTTTTTATTTTTTTTATTTTATCAAACTTTCACTTAATTTATTTTGAAAATTAGGAAGCCCAAATACCACAAATTAAAAGAAACCCCATGGCTCTCTACAAAGTTAAAATTCTAATTTCAACAAATCTAACCTTAACCATCTACAATTAAATCTAACGGCCAAAAAAAGTCCAAATAACAAAATATTAATGATTTAAAAGGGATTTTTTTTTAATAATACTCATTTTAAAACATATTCCAAATATATGTCATTTTCGAAACTATTTCCAAGAATAATGAATGAAAAATAGCAGGTCGTTTACCTGTGAAATGGCACAACATAGTCATTTCTGACCAACCACGTTAATTTTTTTTAAATAACTATTTCTTGTCTCTCGAACCAAATTCGTTTTAAAAGACATGGCCCGCCACGTAATTTTCATTTTTTTTAAAATTGCATAGCATGTCGTACTACGGAGGATTTTCAAAAACCCGTCTGGTCATCTCTTCAGAGACAACCAATATGGCCTGGGCACCACCCGACGCCTTGGTCGTCTCTTAGACGACCTGGGTTGTTTCTTCAAAAACCCTAACCTAGCCGCCCCACCCACATCTTGTTTCTCTCCCTCCAGATCATCGTCGGCCCCATCCCTCCGTTCACCGCGTCGGTCACCTCTGCATCCTCCGACCGTTGTTCAACGTCGCTTCCCTCCAGCCACCGCCGCTTGAATTGTTAAGTGATTTTTTGTTTTTATTTACCTTTTCCAATAATTTTAGTTTTATAATAACATTAGTGTAATTATAGGGAACACTTGCATCAATTCTAATTTGGGACCACTTGTCATAGAAAAAGTTAGTTTTTTCTCTTTTGTATTTACTAGTAAGAAACATGCGGGGTGCACATGAAATTTCATAGTTTTTATTTCAATGTTTAAAAATATAAAATTTAATTAAATAGTTAAAATTTATAATCTAATTTGGTTTTTTTTAATCTCTAAATGTTTACCTCACCAAGTTTTTTTGTATTTTCAATGTTTATCTCATAAAACAACGTCTCAATAATTCTCATCACCCACGGATGCGGTTAGTGTGACTAAAAGTATTATTCTTCAATTACTTAAAAAAAATTCTAAAAAAAACACATATTCATGGATTTTTCATCTTCTTTTTCCCTAAACATAACAATACATAAAAGTAAATAAAACTTTTTTTCAATTTCTTATTTGAGTCATTGAAAAATAAAATGACAAAAAAAAATAGTAAGAGATAGAGATGCGTTCAGGACAGCCGTTCTTTGCCATGTTCGAGTTCGGGTCTAATTCCTTGTCCTAGCTCGTCGGGAATGCCAACCACAACCATGTTCCGATGGATTGCTTCGGCTATTTTCATCACACGATGATCACCTTACGAAGGAGGAGGTCATTGAGAGAGTCCTCACGATTATCAAGTGTCATCCCAAAGTGAATCCGTCCAAGGTGATTCGATCTTATCACTCATTTTCCCTTTCCTTTTTCAAGTTGATTGAATCGTTTGGAAAAAAAAATAACTAAAAAAGTTGAATACTCGATCAAACAATCTAACTAAATATAAGAAAACACAAGACATTGACTAAAGGAGAAAATTAGCATACCGAAAGAGAAAAGAAACTCAAGTTTTGATAAAGAAAAATTTGGGAGAAAGAGTAAGAAAAAACTCTTTATATAGTTGTAGAAAATAAAAAGTTAGAAAACTTTTGAAATTCGTTATTAATTATAATTCAAAATAAGTTATAACTTTTTAACATATAAAGAGACAAAACCCTCCATATTTTAACTCTTTATATTCTAACCTTCAAGATGGGGAGTTTATTAGAAAGAGAAAATTAATTTGAAAAAAGTAAAATTTGTAATGATGGAGATTAAATATTTTAAAAGAAATGGAAAAAAAAAGGAAAGGGGCGTGGGAGGGAGAGAAAAATTTATATTTGAAGGATAAAATTGTCCTCAAAATATTTATGGGAATGTTGAAATTCAAAGGGCAAAATAGGGAGAAAAAGTTTCTCCCTATGACCCCTTTTATATATACTATAGATTTATTATTCATGCTTTTTTTTATTCGTATCATAATTAGCTTTGTTTTTTAGTATATATGTATATTACATTGATTTTGTGATTTTATGTTTCTAGTATGATTTTCAATTTTTTTTTTCCAATAAACGAGTTTTCTGTTTTTTTCAAATGTTTATTTTCTTGTTTTTATTTTTTATCATATGGTTGTTCCACGAGAAATTCAATAAGAGAAAACTCGAATTAATAAACTTGATTTTGTATTTATGTATGTGAGTGTTACAATCTCTAATGTATAATCATCTTATTAATTCTCTCAAATGTAAACTTTAATTCAAGGGCTTGTGAGCTTGTTCTCGAATCAAAGAGTCTGCGCCTTCAGCTTCTAATGTATTGAAGAATCTTTAGAGTCTTCGACTGTGAAGCTTAATGCTCAGCGAAGTTTGTGGCCTGATGAAGTCCTTCGGCTTTGCAGCTTGTGAAGTGCTTTGGCTTTGCAACTTGTTGAGGTTCTTCAGCTTTGCACCATGTTGAAGTTCTTCGACTTTGCAGCTTGTGAAGTGCTTCAGCTTTGCAGCGTGTTGAAGTTCTTCGACTTTGCAGCTTGTGAAGTGCTTCGGTTTTGCAGCTGGTGAAGTTCTTCAGTCAATTTGATGAAGACTTTGCAGTTTGATAGAGTCTTCAAGTATTGTTGCTCGGGGAGAGAAGATCTAATATTCTCGAAGTCTCGATGCTTCGCTTGACTCTAAATCCAATTATTCTACCTTATTCTGACTTCTTCTTCTTTCTTCTTTCTTCTTGCTCCTCCAAATGAGGGGTGACCCATCTATTTATAGAGTCTTGGTGGGTCTTTTATGGGCCATGGGCTTATGGGTCATGGGCTTGGGCTAGTCTCTTCATGGATTTTGATCCAATTAGCTGATTTCATCGGACGGCCATAAGAGAGACACGTGGCATAATTTGATTTGTCGATTTTTAAAGTTAATTTAGGACACGTGTAATTTTATCATTGGTCCTAAATATAATTTTAATTTTGTGACGTGGCCTTTAGTAATTAGCCGAAATTTCTCATTCAACAAATGACCTCTTTTCGAGATGTATGCACGTATATGTGTGTGTAGATCTCGAAAAAGTAATATGTGACATTTGATCAAAATATGAAGTGTGGTTCATAAATAGTATTGGCGCCCAAATTTTGATTTGATAATAATTTTGGCCCTAAAATTTTGATTTTTGGCCTTTGTGCCAACATTAGCACAATTTTTATTTTCGGCCAAATTTCTACTTGTAATTTGTTGGAGTAGAACATTTTGATAAATTATTACATTTAAAATTTGAAACATGTCATCCACGTTTAAYTTGGAGTCTCCATGGTGTCTCTCATCGTTTAAAGATTTCAAAGGCATTAAGATTTGATTTGTCATCCTTACTTGATTTGAACCTTCCATAAATATTATAACCAAATGTCCAATTTGGATAAATTTAGAGGGCTTCAAATTTGATTGACTCGATTTGTTTTGGACTATTCATCTGTTGGATCGATATGACAACCTAGAGGAGGTGAATAGAGTTTAATTAACAAAATATAAACTTTTTAATAAATGAGCCCAATTTAAACAAAAATAATACACTTTTTGAGATATGCAATTTTAACAAAGTAAGATAAAATAAATTCTAAGGCAAACAAGAGAAATTTAAAGCAAACAATAAAATTATAAAATTAATTGCAAAAATAAATAAGAGAAATGGTTAGAGAAATTTGACACCGGGAATTTTTATAGTGATTCGGCACAACTGTCCTACTCCACTTCCCAAGCACCTCTTGAGTTGTAAATTGAAATTCTGACTCTTTCCACGGTAGGAGTCAAACCGGTACACTGCTCTTTACAAGAGCAAAGACGATCCTCTCCACGGTGAAAATCACACCATTACAATGAGTTGGAAAAATCTAAACACACTTACAAACTCTCAAATAGAGTAAATATACAAATTTTCGCTCACAAAAATCCAATCTTCACAACAATAAATTTCTCTCACAAATAAGATGGAAAGAAAATTTGAGAACTTGGAGAGATTAGCAAATGAGAATTTTGAAGTTATGGAGAATTGAGAATAAGAGAATTATTGTCTAATTTTGAAGGAGAAGTTGAGTTTAAATAGAGGGAAGAAAATGGTAAAAAAATCAAGTTTAATTTTGGACCATTAGATCTTAATTATTAAAAATGAAGGGTTGAGATAATTTTGAAAAATAAATTAAGAATTATATATATATAATAAAATAAAAAAAAAAATATATATATATATATATAAAACGACGTGACAAATTTTGAATTATATAATAATATATATATATATATGAGAAATGGTGAAAAATTTTTAAATTTTTTTTTAACACTGAGACATGTAGCATTGAAAACTGATATGATGTAATTAATTTTTTTTTTATAACTTTTCAAAGTTACAAGGTAACTTTTTTTTAACCATTTCTTTTCTTTTCTTTTTCTATATATATATTAAATAGTAACTTGTCACTTATCAGCTTACGAACTGTCCACGTCATCTTCTCGGGTATTTTTCCTTCCAATTTGTTTCGATCGTAACTTCTCCGTTTGAGCTCGGATTTGGATGATCTAACAGTCGTTGGAATCGTTGTAACAAATTCTACGCYGTGGACACTTTAAAAAACTAAAATTATCAATAAAAAAATTAAGTTTGTTATCATCAAAACATTAATTAATTAATTAATTAAAATTAATTAATTTGAGATTAAGGCCAAAAAGCCAACATCACCAATATTTATGCCAAAATTTATGTAGGATTTGGATTGAATTTGACAAAAATTTCATGATTACGGAGACATTTAATTTTGATTGAGCATCTTTATTTGATTTGGATAAAAGATGCCGAAATCAAAGATCTCTATATACTTGAATTTGGAGAAGAAATTTCATCTTTGTCGTTCTTATTTTATCACAGTCTTTTTTTTTTTTGCCAAACTCTAAA